AACACAAGACTGTTTGGAGTCCACAGCCAAAAACTCACAAGGAGATTCATCTAAAAATCATTGGAAGACCTTCTTCTTTTCCTGCCAATGTGCAGTTTTAAATGTCTGTAAATGCTCTGCTACACTCAGTCTGGCATCATGATTTCCACCTCATTATACGATCTCTTCTAAGACCATAAACACCTAAAACGTTGAACTAACATAAACTGTTTACAGAGGGTGCAGCTTTGTAATTTGGAAAAGCTCTGCAGAGAAGCAACACTGGCAGAGATCTGCAATCTGCTGAAGGCCACAGCCTGCGGGTACAACAACAGAAGATAATACCTGGATTTAAAATGTTAACAATAACCACACACTTTATTTATACAGCACTTTTCTTAAGAAAGGTACAAAACGCTCCACAGAGAGTAACTGAAAATAAATAACATCTACAACAGTAAGAAGACGCCCTGAGATATTACGGTTTAGGACGCAGTGCTTAAATGTTTTTTGTCTAACTGCACATTAATATATCAATGCCATTTCAGGTAGTTGGACAGATATGCATCTGATTTTGATGAAATCTGAAGCTGTTCCTTTAATCCTTTTATTTATCACGCCTGCATCAGTCATGTGGTTGATCTGTTGTGTGTCAGCTGCAACTGAAGGTGGAAATTTGGCAGTTCTCTAGAAGCAGGATAAACTTTTTAAAGTCTCATAGCATGACAGTGCCTGTGTCCCTGTAGCTTTAAACAAGTGTACTGTAGACTACAGATGGCAAAGAGTACAGCTGTGATTACAGTAGAGCTACTACTGCAACACACCACCCGGGGAGAAAGGCAGGAAAAGTGGGACGCAGTGTTACAGTAAAGAGAACAAAATAAAGAGATGACGAAGAGGAGAAAAAAGAGGAAGTGGAGCAGCGGGGAGAAGAGAGAGGTAAGTGGGGCATAAAGCTACAGTTGACAAAACATAGATTGAGGCACCGCAGCGTGAGCTGCTAGGAAGACCGAGATGAAGCGAAGAGCTTTCGTGGAGAGAATTAAAGTGTTGGAAGAAGCCCGTGCGTGTTTCTATTTCAACTCGACTGTGAAGACGACAACTTTTGAATATTAATGCTGTCAAAATTAAAATGCAAATTGTGTGCTTTTCCACTAGGTACACTAAAGCGAATCAATCTTCCACGAAAGACAGAAGACTGATTAATATTGGCAAATATTCTTCACTCTGAGCTACGGCTTTACTTCTTATTTTCCTTTAAAGGATGACATATTGGTGAAGGTTTGACATTTTCTAGTTTCACAAGGACATTCGCCAAACTTAAACCATGTCAACTGATGAACCACATTATTTAGCTAGTAAAATGTATTTTTATCCACAAAAATAATGAAAAACATTATTTACAGTGTTCCCGTTTTATGTGTCACTCCATGGAAAATCAATCAGGCCCTCCCAACTTCAGAATCAGTAAAACCACTTCAAGTTAGAATCTAAGGCCAAAATCATAACCAACTCTCAACATCAATATCATGAACATACTATAGTTTCGATTTAATGCACCAATTCAGTGACGTAGAGTAACAGAAACCCTGGCACCCTAAATGTTTGATCTGTCTCCATTGGTAAAAACGCCTAAAGATCCTACCACCACATGTGATAACTGGCTGATCAAAACAAGTTACAGCACATAAAAGGCCTTTTTTTAAACCAACATTTTGATACCTGTGGATATTTGATGTCTTTAGGAAGTTATGAGGGGTCAAGAATGTTGAAAAGTACCAAAGTACCAAAGGTTCTTCCTCTATGGTTATTAACACCTGTAAATATTAACAGTAAAATTTTATATTTGCTAACAACACAACTGTCCAACCCAAACAAAGTTCGGCTTAATACTAATTTATCATAAGCTGGAGCTTTATATTATATAAACATAACATTGAAATTGATTTATAATGAAATTCAACACTTTTTCAGCACACACAGAAAGTGATAACTGGAGGAAGAGACGGGCAGTGAGTGAGTGAGGGGGAAACGTGGCCGACAGACAGAGAAAGAGATGGAGAGAGACAGTGTCACCTGGCAGCATGCATATTGTCCTACACCAACTACAATAATGCTGACAGGACAGGACGTAACGGGCAGCCCCTGCCCCGATACAGCTGCGCTATGCAGCACTACACCACAACCAGGCTGCAGAATACACACACACACAGCTCTGAACCACGCCTTATAAAACCAGGATCTGAGATTCAACACTTGAAGAGCAGATTAATGGTGTGATTAAGTCGGCGTATCACCACCAGAACCGAAGGCAATTTCTGTTCTAAGAAAGCCCGGCCATTCTCATGACTGCTGTTCAGCAAAACCACTGTCTGTGTTCCCAGCAGACACACACAATCCACAAATTCATCCCCCAGATTCACACACAGTCTTTTTCGCTGCATTGAGGAATTATTTGCAGCCCCTGAAAAAAAGGTTTTTGTCAGAGGCAAAAGGAAAACCACCAGCAGTCTAATAAAATTATTTATCTTTCACCAAATACAAATAATGTACATTTTTGAAAAACAAAAAAGAAAAGACACCAATTTTTGTTAATAAATTGGTGAATTTTACAGAGTAATTGCCTTTAATTACTGACAGTTGGTATCCCAATCCAAGTCCTCCTAACTTATGTTTTAATTTTGTTGACAAGTGGAGAAGCAGCGTCATCAATCAGCCATCCTGGCCAGAATCTAGGCCAAGTGGACCAATAGTCATACGTCACCAATAACACAACTTTGTGTTATCAGTTGAGCCAAACCTAGCCTGGACTAGTTATCTAACCAGCTGAGAATTCATCAATAGGCCAGTTTGTATGTGTGTATGTGGTGCAGTATTGATCCAGATGAGGTGAGAGAGTGTGCTTTTTGTTGTGAAATGCATGATAAAGTAAAGTCATAATTGAACAAGGACAAAGGTTGGTCAGCAGGGTTGAGGCTGTACAAAGAAATCCCTTGTTAAACTCTGGGAACGGTTCTTACAGCTGTGAGTCCATCACAAAAATACACAAGGTTAAACCTGCAAATGACAAAATGAACAGCCAGAAAAACCTGCTGCCAATCTGGGAATAAAAGCTTGTGGTACAGCTCTGCTTTTTTAGTCTATTAAAACGATTTCCTACTTCAGATGTCTGAAGGTGAAGAAATAAGTAGCACATTTCTTTAACCAACTAACATTTCCAGAACAGAGCAAACAAAAACTAGCAGCATGTTTTAGAAACCATAGTATTTTTTTATAGTACTCATTGTATTTTTTTTAAATTACAAGCATTTAATTAAGCAATTTTCAGACATTAAATGGTGAAGCTGCATGTGAGACCAGACATTCAACTGTCTTTAGCCTGCCAGCTTCATACTACTAAGTCCATGTGATGTCTGATTGATTGTCTGGTGAATTCACAGCCAGTGGTCCTAAAATAACCAACACCTAAATCAAACTGTTTCCATTAGTGAGAAAAGATCGGATGTTAACTATCTGCTGGCTAAATGTGGGAAAGCAAAGCTGATTCAGCTGCCACTGTCTGGAGTTCACATGTGAAAACCGCATATTAGTACTACATGCAACCGATAAGCGAACCAATGTCTAAACCACAGTCTAGCGTTGACATTAGCATAGGCAGTAAAAAATATGGACGCAGCCTCTGGGTCTGAAAAAATAGCCAAAGCTTAAGTGTTTTAAATCTGCATTTTGTTTTTTTAAAGTGACCAACAGGGGGCGATTGATGTGGTTGCACAAACACTCGCAGTCATATAGAAATCTATGGAAAAACAGCCCTGGGCTCCTTTGCTCTCTGACCTTGGTAAACAATCTCCTGATGATTTATGGGCTCAGTCACGACTTTCTGGTTTTATTGAATAAAACATGAAGCTAATATTGTAAATTAAGGTCATTACAGGAGTCAGAAAGGAAGAATATTTCTGTATGCTGATTGATTAGTCAACGATGAAAATTCACACTTCATTAACCACTTGGTGACGTCACAGCAGCTACCCAGTCAAGCTTTAGATATTATGACAATGGAGGTATGATACTATAGTCCAGTGAATAATGATTAACTTTACTGCTCAACTATCTAAGAGGTCCACCTTAAATTACAGGATGCGGGGGGGACGACACCACAATAAAATCACATGGAGCAAAATATAATACAATCATACACTCAGTGAAGACATTAATATTTCAGTGCTGCATTATTAAACACCATCATAGCTGAATGAGAAAATACCGCAACTTTCACTGCTTGAAAACAGAAGACAGCCCTGAGGCAGTGGTCGACTCTGTTTCATTAGATCGCGCTCAATTAACACATGCACCGCACACAAAAACACAAATAGATGCAAGCAGTCTGAGCTGAGACAGGAAAGGGTTTAATCTCATTAAGGACACAAATGCAACGCATGTAGTTAATACATAACCCTAAATGTCACCACAGAAGCATACGGTGACGTACGTTACTCCAAGTCTTTGTCCGGCTTTGTTCTGGAGGACTGAGTGCACATGTGACGGATGCATTACAATGACACAAAGCAAAAATTCACTGCTTCGCTGGCTTCTTTGAATGAATATACTATACCGAGTTCACAAAAGATATAAATAACCCATAAAACTGGACAGGCAAGCCTTTTATCAAGCAGCACTGCAAGAGCTGAAGATGGAGAGACGAATCTTCCCTGCAACCACTGACAAAGCCAACGCAGATGCCTCAGTGCTGAAATTCTCCCCGAACTGTTGCTTTTGTGTTTTTCACATTTTAACCGCATAACAACCGAAAGGTAAAAGGTCAGATGACTACAGCACACAAAGCTCAACTGAGGGTTTTAATCTAAGGCAACACAAATAAGCACACAGAGAATCCCACAGGTTAAAAAGAAAAGAAATCCTGCACTCTTACTATAAGAATTAAATCTAGAGTTCAGTTGAACGTTAAGTGGCCAGCTCATTAAACTGATATACACCGGCTGATCCAGTAACGTGTCACTCACCTTCTGAAGGCTGGTTGGGTTCAGTTGTGTTTTATCGATGATCTTTATTGCAACCTGGGAGAAAAAAACAAAAACAAACAAAAACAAAATAAATACAGAGAATTTATCACACTTGCCCAACAAAAGCTGGCTTATGTAACGCCAGCATAGCTCACTGGTTGAGCAGGTGATCGCATGCCACACGGCTGAAATGTAGCAGTTCGAGTCCAATCCGTGGCCCTTTGCTTTTCCCGTCTAATTTCCACTGCTTTCATTTTTTAATCAATTAATTTGCTGTTTTTTTGAGTTGTATTTATTATCAGCCACTTCAGTGTCCATATTGACAGTCAAGACAGTCTGACACTTCATGGCTACTGAAAAATATGCTTAGATGATGAGTTTACTCCAGCTTCCGGACTAAATAAACCCTGAACTAGAATAATCTGAAGAATCTTTAGCATTGGGTAATACTGCTAGCAAGCACAACACAATCCAATAGTCTTAAATGAGAAAATACACGTGAATCAAAACAAACTGTAATGAGGCCAAAGAGTTCAAACCACGCCATGTTTTACAACACAGAAAAGACATAAAAGCTAAAACTTACTTAATAAAGCAAGAGGTTTAACAGCATGTGTTGACCCGGACATACCAGTACAACTTTAAACCACCATATATGTCTTCTGCTTTATGTGGGTGGAAACAGCAGCTATCACATGATTAAGCCAGTGGCAGACACACAAAGTTTCTTGAGCCCTGAGTTATCAACTGAGCTAATGTAGGTCAAGGGTTTTATGAGAAGAAAGACTACAGTGTATTTAAACACATGGACGTACAC